TGTCAGGGAAGGCACCTGAAAGCACTGAGGTGCTGAGAACGCATTGTCCTGTGGCAGGGCCTCACCTTGATGCCTTTTCTCAAGCTGAAGGTTTTGTCACTAGTGGCACAATGTATATAAGGAATATAGGGTCCCTGATACATTTGCCTGGTCACTGCAGATCTTAGCTAATGCACCATAAGATGTATGCTGCTTTCTCATCACCTCAGTGGCAGAGATTTGGTTATTGTTTCTTTGTGATAGGAATGTCCAAACACTTCGCTGTTCCCACACCTGAGGGCTGCTGGTGCATAAGCTTATGTCTCCATCAGACTGCTGTCCTATAATATGCATTCCAGTATGCTTCACTATGAGGAACAGCACAGGGATGGGCTGGGGATGTGACAGTATCTGTGCAGGGAAACATTTCTTAGATTGGTTTTCTTTAACTCTCAAGTCATACTCTGGTTAGATGACATTTTCAGAACAATGTCAAGTAGTTAAAGGGATCGTTTAACACCAGCCACCACCCCTCCAGAATTATTCTTTCATTTCTAATAGGTGTGTGTACCCATAACGGATCTGGAAGGGGAGATGCAACTGAATTAGGCTTGTTGTAAAGTGCACAGGGAAGCCTACTGAAGAGCTACTGAATTTCTCTGGTATCTTTTTGCCTCTCTCAAGAACCATGGGGTGGTGTTCAGTGTTGAGAGCACATCTTTAACATTGGATGTTAAAATGTCAAAAACCGGTGTTGAGAAAATCTTTAACATTGGAGGCTGTCAGAGATACTCTTCTGCTGAACATCTGACAAGAGGTCAAAAATCTGGGTGCTGGGCATGTTACTTGAATGAAGAGCATTTGGCTCATCAAGGAGACTACTGTGTGCTGTGTGCCAAAAAGGGGAACAGGGCTCTGTATTTTTAGAATCAGAATGTCACAGGAAGATTGAGATGGGAAGGGGTGTCTGGAGGTCTCTGCTCCAAACTCTTGCTCACAGCACGGCTGGTCCCAGGCCTAGATGCAGCCCTTATCAGCACCTGTGCTAGTGCTGAACTACCTTCAGGGAGGAGGTTTTTCCCTTTATCTAGTCAGAATTTCCCTTGTAAATTTTTGAACCCTTTCACCTCTTCACCCTTTCTGCATCTGTCAGAAGAGCTTGACCCTGAGTTCTCTATACCCCTCCCACAAGAAACAGCTGCAGAGAGTAATTACTTCCCCCCTAACCTTCCTTTTCTCCAAGCTGGAAGACTCAGCTCCTTCAGCCTCTCCTTGTATGCCATGGGCTTGAGCACCTTACCTATCTCACTGATTCCCTGCAGGACTCTTTGCAGTTTATCAGCATCTCTCTTGTGCTGCATTTCTACATCCCAGCCAAGGCCTCTCATTTCACACACTACTGCGTGTCCCCTGGTAGAACTGGAAAGCAGTGGGATGATGCACCTGGAGAGACCTCACGAGGTGGCATGTCCCATCCCCCTGCTCCGAAGAAGGACTGGATGCATCCCAGCAAGCTTGGTATCTGCTTGCTGAGGCCTCCTGGCTGGCTCACAGATTCCATGAGTCATTTATCCATCCTGAAATATGGATAATGCTAATCATGAGCTAATAATGCTCTTGATTTGCCCAAGGTCTTCAATATCTTCATTTCAAAGGTGAGAGAAGTTTATTTCCCATGTTCTGCAGCCAGTCCTTGGCCTCTCTGCACCAGCACACACGACCACTTCTGTTCCCCTTGTTTATTTTCCACTTATGCATGCCACCCTGAGTCAAAGCAGGGGGGGTTTACCTAGTAGCCATTTGGCCATGAGGATTCCTGAGCCGGTGCAGCCTTTGGGAAGGCTGACAGCACCCATGTCACCCCTGTGTCTATAGCCTGTCCTCAGCCAGCCAGAGATCCAAAACAGGCCTTGAGAAGCTGCACTTGTCTTCAGTCGCTCATTGTTTTTCATTTAACATTTGTTTAAGACAACTTTTGTTAACTCAAGCAACAGACCTGGTTATGGGAAATGATGACATGAAAACCATTTGGGGGTTGACTTTGTGGTTAATCAACTTGGTGTCACATGTCACTGATCCTGAGGACCCTGGGGCTGAAGCAATACCGGCTTTCACAAAGGCATTTCCCAAAATCGCAGACCTCAGGGATCTGGATATTTTGTTTAGCATCCAGAAAACAAGGATTTTGACAAGACCTTCCTTATTCATGAATCATCACTTTGGCCTCTAAGGGTCATACTCACTATCACCTCAGGAGGTAAGGCTGTCAACTCCTAAGGTAGCAGTTTGAAGCAGCCACAACTGCAAGCACTACTAGCTCAACAGCAATAATAGTAATATTCTTTTTTGTTTCCTGGGGCTCAGCTGAGCGAGCCACTCTGTGAAGCAGGTAATCATAGAACCACAGAATCAACCAGGTTGGAAAAGACCTTTAAGATCAAGTCCAACCATTGCCCAGCACTGCCAACGCCACCACTAACCCATGTCTCTGAGAGCCTCCTCCACACGGTGTGTGAACACTTCCAGGCACTGTGACTCCAGCACTGCCCTGGGCAGCTGTTCCAATGCCTGAGCACCCTTTGGAAAGGAATTGCTCCTCATACCCAGTGTAATGCTTACCTCTGTGCTAGGCATCAACAGTGTGATCTTGCCAACACAGAGCACCTCTGCAAAATGATACTCTGAAATGTTTCCTACTGAAGACCCCAAAACCAGTGGGCATTTTTGCACATTATCTGTGGTGTTTTCAGTCCCCCACTGGACGTGTGGAAACCAGAACGTCGTAGGGAACAATAGCATCGCAGATTACTGCTGGCAAGGCGGAGGCTCTGGCGAGGGTCAAGACAAAGAGGTAGGTTGGGGAGAAGGGTGGATGAAAGAATGAATGAAGGCTGGAGACATGAGGCGTGCTCATGTTGTGCAATGGGGTGCTGTGTGCCAACAGGGCTGGCTTGGGAACGAGAGGCACTGAGAGCAATGCTGTGCCCAGGATAAACAGGGAGGCCTCAAAATGCCACAGTGCCCCTGGGGAAAAGGGTGTAGAACAAACACGTTGGGAGCCATGGGCTTACAAGCATGTTGCAGGGACTTCGTTATTAACGTTTTTGAAGTGCTTGGGTGATTAGCGCTACAGAAGAACCCGTGAGAGGAGATGAATACGTCTCTATTCGCTGCCGGGTTTGGATGCTGTAAATAGTGCTTGGAGCCATGTAACGGACAATAGGAATTCCTGAATAAAAACCCGCTGAGAGAGCAGCATCCAGCCTGCGTTGGAAGGTCCACCCGAGGAAACGCTTTGTGACTGGTCTATCAGCAAGCTATACAAGAGCTTGCCCATACACACTCGGAGCCTCTCTATTTAATGCAGACAGACGCACGGTGCAGTCTGGGCTGTGCATGTCCCCCCAGTCCTTGCTTTACGGACCCAACTTGGGCAGCAAGGGCAGCGCCTGCTCACTTGTAGCTTCCCTCCGGCCCGCAGGAGGTTGGGTCAGACCCTTCATAGGCTCCCGGCCACCCCCTTCCCTCTACCCGCCGCCTTCCTTCGGCGGCAACCGTTCAAAACCGGCCATGTCCGCCGCCGGTGGGGCCCAACTCGGCCGCCGGGGGCGGGGGGTTCAGGCGCTCTCCCGCACCGTGCGGCCGCCTTGAAGTGGCGGCGGGTGGCGGTGGGGGTGCGATGTGGCGAGGCCCCCACCGACCCCTCCGCTGGCGTGGGTCCGCTTTGCGATGGGTGGCGGGAAGCGGGACCTCACCGTCCGACCCCGGGGCCATGCCGCGGCCCGGCGCGGGCGGGGCGGCCGGTCGGTCCCCGCGCGAGGCTCTCCCTTTGTGCCGTTGCCTGGTAACCGGGCGGGGGATGGGAGGCGGCCGGCAGGGCTGAGGGAGGGGCGGGAGCTGAGGAGCGCCAGGCAGGCGGCCGCCGCCCCCCGGGAGGCCCCGGTCCCGCACCGCCTCCCCCGCCCGCCGAGTCCCCTCCCGCAGCCGCGGGGAGCGCGGTCCTGGCCGCCGGTTCTTTCTTCGCACTCCCCCCCCCCAAAGGGGCTCGGTCGCCCCATGTTCGTCCTGCCAAAAAGGCTTCTCGGGGCTCTCCCCCTCTCTGGGCCTTTGTGCCGGGGGCGCGGGGCGGGGGCCGGGCTGGCTGCTCGCCGCGCTCCCGTGTCTCCTCCCCACCCCACGCTCCCGCGGGTGGGTTGGGGGTCGTGCGGCGGGGCCCCCGCGGGGAGGGGCGGAGGCGAGCGCGGCTGGGGGGTGACAGAGCGGAGGGGCGGGGGGGGGGCTGGTTCTGGGCTCTTCGGAAATGGGAGGTGGCTAAGGCGGGCCGCGGTCGGAGCGGTGGGAGGGCGGCGGGGCAGAGGCGGCGGCGCCTGAGCGCGGGGTGCGAGGCGGGAGAGGGGGCGACTGAGGCGCGGGGGCCCCGCTCCCCGCCGCACCCCCGGAGCCGCTGCCCCCCCCTCCCCCGCCGCCGACCGGTTATTCCGGAGACGCGAGAGGATACGAGGGAGCGCGGAAAAGGAGGAGGGAGGAAAAGGGAAGGGGGGGGGGGGCGAGAAAAAGGGAGGGGGGCAGCGTTTAAATCCCTTCCCCCCGCTCCTCGCCGCCTCCATTCCTCCCTTCATTCGACCTCCCCTCCGGAGCCGCCGGTGAGTCCCTCGGCCGCTCACAGCCGCTCCCGCCCTGCTTGTCATTTTCGCCTACTCGCTGCATTCTTCCGCGGGTGGGTGTTTTCCCCCACCCCCCCGGTCCGTCTGTCGGGAGGGGGGGCGAAGCGGTGGGGAGGGGGAACAGCAAAGTTTGGGGGGCGGGGGGTACCCCCGCGGCGCTGGGGAAGGGCCCCCGGCGGTGCCTGCCCCGGCGGGGTTATGGATGCGGCGAGGCCGGCGGCACGCCGCGGGTCACGGAGGCACGGGGAGGGGGGGGCGGCCCATCGGCCCCATCCTGCTCCCCCCGGCGGACGGGACCGCTCGTAAATTACCGGGAAGGGGGGATGCTGCCCGCCCGGGGCTCGTTAGCTTTGGCGGCGGCCGCTCCGCTCCGCGCCACCCCCCCCTCCCTCCGGAAGAGGAGCGGGCTATGGGGGACGGGCAGGGGGCTCCTCGCCCGCCGCGGGGGTCCCGGGGCGGGGACACCCCCCGTTGAGCGCCTACGTGACGTCACCGCCCGCGGAGCCCCCCTTCCCTGCAACGGAAAGTTCAGCGGGGCCGGGGGGGGGGGGGGTGCCCAGCGGCGAAGGGACCCGGGGGGGCCAGGCGGGACTTGAGAGTTCGCAGCCCCGCACTGAGTGGGGAGGGACCCGCAGCGATGCCGGAGATGGTGGGGGGGAGGACGGACGGGACCGGGCGGCACGCTGCCGGCCCCCAAAACCGCCCCCTTCTACCGGCGAGCCTCGTATTGTTCCCGCTTATGCAGGTGCGGGCTGGAATATTTGGGAATGTTTTCCATCGGGGGAAGCGGGGCACGGAGCTGTGTGTTCGCTCGTCCTCCGTTTCCGTGGCAGGCACGGGTGGGATTCGCCCCCTCCACGATGCCACTCTCGGTCGGTGGACCCGCTGCCCACTCCTTTGGAAGCCAGGTTGCTGCCTGGGGACCGCGCAGCAGACCAGACCCGAATGGTTGGGCGACATCAGGATGGTGGTTGAGCTCCCTTTGAACCGGCTGCGATCCTTCAGCGTGTAGGGCTGCTTGTCTGCTGCTGAGGGGTTTTGGAGAAGCAGCATCTGTATTTCCCAGCTGTGGCTGTGCCATGGGGCGAGCAGTGGCAGTTCTGCCCCACCGGCTTCTGCAGGCTGCCGGCCTGTGGCTGCTGCTGCCCAGCGCATTGCCAGTTGTATTTTGTCGAGTGGCCGCTGTGCTGTTGGAACTGGCAGCCATTTGGTCACTGTGGCATCACTTTTGCACACTGCCTTTGCTTGCCATCGAGTTCTGCCTTGGTGGCTATTGTATGTTGCCTCAAGTTGCTTCTGAGATGGGCAGTGTCTTTCTTGCTGTTTGTCTTGGTGCTGGGGCTGCCTGGAGTTCCACAGCCAGTTACTTAGTTCCCAGGATGGCTACTGTAAGAATTTGTATTCCTTTTGTCTGCAGGGTCTATTTTGCAGTGCTGTGGTTCTTGAGGAGCAGCATGTCCTTACCAAGCTAGCCACTCAGATCTGTTTTTGTTATCTCTGATTGTCTTGGGTGGATTACATGGGAACTGCTGTGCTTTCCAGCACAGAAAAAGTGAGGAAGAAGTAGCGGACCATTATCCTGTGGTGTGTAGCAGGAGAGCAGGGGGGAAGGGGTTGGAAATGCCATTTGTTTCGTGTCCACCTGAATGGTGGAGCTTGGTTACACACCCTTCGGGTATGCCTATGCCTAAAGCGTTAGAGTTCAGCCCTGACTTCCCACCGGATTCAGTGTGTCAGCACATCAGCTGAATCCCACAATTGTTTGAGTTGAAGGCTGCAACCTCCTTTCTTCTAAGTCTTCTTCTAAGAGGGTGTTGTGCATCGCTGTTGTGCTGCACGTGCACTCCTGAGGGACTGGAGCTCCACGACCATCGTGACCATGGATGGATGCACGTAAATGTAAATGGTCAAATTGTTCACTGGAATGAATTTCGTCCTTCCCCGCCCCTGTTTCTTGACCAAATTGTTATTTTTGTTATTGCTATATTTGTTATAGGTGACTGCACAACCAGTCGTTAGTGTATTTCCCCAAGTTCTTGGGAATGATCTGGTCTTTCACACCAGGCTTTCCCAGTTGTGTTTCATGATGAAGCTTTTCAAGGATGGCCAAGAAGTGAACAGTGCAGTGCCATGGTTCTTGCTAGAAATCATAAAACCCCTCCAAACATTTGAAAATGAAATGTGCAGTGAATCCTAATGAAGATGATTAACAGGTCTAACCTGCTGCAGTGGCCTGCCTTTACCTTTCTTCATATGCATTTACCTCCGCCCCTAGATTTTGTACCCCTTGGATATCTCTGAAACCTTCAGGTTTGTCTGCACAAGGAATTACAGTAAGGTTTCTTGTTGGCATACTTGTGTTCCAAAATAATAATGGGCATGCAAGGGGTTATGATTCTGTAGCATAGTGGCATCACTAAAAGCACCCTGATATGTGTTTTTCCTCAAGAGGAGGAGCATCTAGTCCAGTTGCACTAGATGGTCATTGTAGGTCCCTTCCAACTGAAGTATTCCATTCTGGTTTTATTTGTAGCTGAAATCAATCAGGTAGGTTTTCTTCTTCCAAAAGCTCAGCCTGTGGCACTCCTTGTATACCCCCCTGGTACCTCCTGGAGTCAAGAGGAGCAGTCGCTGTGGAATACAGATGTGTATAGGGAAGGATTATTTATTTACTACATCTGAGGTGTAATACGCAAAGGTACTCTCTGAAACTGGTCTGAGCATTTATTCAATTGGGCCCCTCCTTAAATATGTACCTGAATGTTTACCCGCTCTTGTATTTTTCCTCTTTGGGTGTCTGCCTTTTTTTCTGAGGACCTGGTTTCCTCCTCTGTCAGGCTGTGTCTGCCCCAGTTCTATTGTTTCTTTCTCCCGTTCTCTTCCAGACAAATAAACTACTTTCTTGCCTCCAGTAGATTTTCTGATCTCTTTCTTCCCCCCCTTAGGAGATGCTATGGAGGTATGAAGTGTATTTCCTGTGTTTATCACTCTGCCTCTTCCATCTGTACTTGTTGAGGAGTGTTACTCGTGAAGTACAGAATAGTAATGCAGTACAGATTTCTGAAAGACCAAAGGAAAAGGCAGCACAAGCTCCAAGTGTGTTTAAAAGTGGCAGCATCTCTGAAAACGTCATGCTGTTAAACCAGTGGTCTGTATTCTGTGCAGAATGAATTTGTGTGATCACTGCCCGAGCCTGGTCACAGCGGATGGGTTAACATGAACATGAATTGCTCCATCTAAGTGCCTTGCTTGTTACTGAAGCTGCAGCAGTCCCCAAGACGTGTTGCTGGGTTGGCCAGGCACATGTCCCATTGCTCTTTGTGTCGCACTGAGCTGAACACTGGAGAATCTTTTGTCCTTCCAGTCATGTGGTGGGCAATTGCGAGCCCACAAGCCATGTCCTCGGATGTGTGTGGAGAGTGATGAGACAGAAGGGGATGCTTTCAGCTCAAGTACTTTGAGCTTCTCCTCTCTCCCTTAGTCTGGTTGGCTGATTTGGGCTTCCAACATTTTGGGGGGGAGGATCTGGCATATGTTAAGAAGTTGGACACAAGTCAGGTTTGTGAGGAAACAGTCGCTTCAGAAGCCTTGACTTACCTCCAGAACTCCACTAGTAGTGCTCCTGCAGAAATCTCTGACAGGCTGTTTTCTGCATTTGTTGTGGCAGCAAACACTGATTTGTTATTGTCTCCTGTAAAAATATCAATATTTGATTGATTGTTGTGGTAGTATTTTCACCTACAAACCAAAGGGTAATTCGGAGTCTTCTCTGAGCAATTTCAGCCGACGACGGTCTGTCTGGGCTTGGCTGAGGAAGGGTAGCTGGGTGCTTTCAGTCTTTCTTCATGTCTCTTCCACTGGTGACACCCTAGATCAATTTAGCTGGAAAATGTTAGTCTTGTGCTTCCCTCCCTTCCCGGCAGTTGGTGATACCCTGATTGATGTTTCTTCCACAAGGTCTCTCTGTGTTATAGATCACTTAAGTGAAGGTTGCATCTCTTTGAACAGTGGATTGGATATACTGTGTGTATATGTATTAATGCCTGTGCGTATATATCACAACATCTATAATAGCCTGTATTATACAGTATATAATACACAATGTTATATCTTAAATTTTATGTTGAGATATATAACACAGTGTATCAGATACAAGTGTATCTACAGCGTAGTATTTCGGTTATACTACTGTTTTTCTTTCAGGCAGTGCAGTAGATGAAGTGAATTCCCTCAGAACTGTTCAGAGATGGCCAGACACATGAGGAGGGTCCACCCACTATAAAGAGTGGTTTATCCAGTTGTGATTATCCATCAAGCTTTCCTGCACCATTGCTTTCAAAGTACATTTTCACCCAGGTCTTGTAGACTCCATCACCTCTTGGCCAACCTCTCTATCTATAGAACTGCTAATGACTTTAGTATTGAAAAACGTGGTGTGAGCAACTGGGTGGTCCTCTCGTGCACAGCACATGGCAGGAAGTGTCACCTGGTGGTCTTTACAGAAAATATTAAAGGTATTTATTTTAGAATAGAATAAATAAAGCCCTTAAAGATTTCCAGGTATACATTAGATCCCTGGGCAAGTTTTCCAAGTGACTGCTTCCTCCTACTTTTCAGATTTTGCACGTTTTCTGTGTGGAATTTGTCTAGTTTCAGCTAGATCCATTGGGTCTTGCATGTTAAAGAGCCCTCTGCTGTCAGCAGCCTTCTCCCTTTGTAGTACTCGTAGGCCATGTTTAATGTGTCTTTTAACCTTTTCTGTGATAAGCTAAATATACTGGGCTTTTTAAGGCTCTTTCTGTAAGGGGGAGAGGAGATTCTAGAAATCCTTCTTTGTTCTATTTTGGTAGTTTTCAATTTGTCAGCATTTTTTTTGGAGTACACGAGTGGAAATTGCCCATGCTACTCCCATAAAGGTCACACCAGTCATGTATGTAGTCAGGTAAAAATGGTCTCTCTATTCCTGCTCCTGAAGAAGATTCCTCTCTATGCACCAGTGGTTTCATTCATTCAGGAGTAACCCCCTCAGAAGTCTTGTACTGGGAACTCATGTTCTGTTTGCTATCAGCTGTTAATTACAAGGTATCCTTGGATCTTCATCCTTGAAAGCATTCTACAGTCTTCTCTTCTTGATTTTAAAGGTCTTTTCCAGCCTTGTTGATTCCATGATGTAAAAATCCTCAATACTTTGGGCTCAGTCTTGGGCTCAGGTGCCCACATGAGAGGTGGAGGCTGGTGTCTGTGATTGGTAAGGCAGGTTATATTATCTGGAGGTGGTAGCACTTTGGCATGAATTGCTTGCTTTGAATTCTCTTGGGGTCAGGGAGAAGTTTAGATACTTGTGACTTTTAATCCTTCATTG